AAAAAAAAAAAAAATGGGGTTAGGCCTTAAGGGTGGAAACGCGAAAACGGCGTTTCAAAAGCTTCCCACTCTGAAGGCTGAATAAAAAAAAAAAACGTTTACAGACCCCCGAAACGCCGGCTTCGTATGGATGAGAGGCTGGTTTGGTGAAAAATTTGTGCGTTTAGGCCAGGGTTTGGCTTCGTGTGGACGGGGCCTTTGTCACATCATATTTACACCCCAGAGAAACAGGAAGTCATTGATTATAATAATTATAATTGAACTTTATTAATGTCACAATGGAGAAATTTCCCTCTGCATTTAACCCATCCCCTTCGGGGAGCAGTGGGCTGCCATTGTGGGGCGCCCTGGGAGCAGTGTGGAGTTAAGGGTCTTGCTCAGAGAGCCAGAGTGGCAGCCTGTGGGAGTAGATTTCAAACTCACAACCTCAGGATTCCAAGCTCCATGCACTGACCACTAGGCCACCAATTCCCACATAAGGTTGATCAACAAGAAAAAACAAGCTTTTATCAAAAATGTAATTTCTAACTCAACAGAGCTCTGTAAATATTAAATCTCCACTGTACCTATCATGTACAAGTTAAGAAAGGGGTTGAAGAAAAGCAAGCTGAGGCTTAGATCAGTGGGACATGACATACTTTGTAGCTCAAGCAGACCACCCAAGCTGAAAAGATGTGCTTGAATAATGTGCAGACTGTAAAAGAAAATACAGTAGGTACAGCAGCAGCTCTGGTGCAGCTGATGCCTTATTGATGTCCTTTTTTCTCCCCCACTGAGTAAATGTATTCAGCTTACAGCTTAGATGTTTCTATGTTGCTTTTCTCTCTGAGATTATGCTTCTGCTATAAAACATGGATTCATTTTACTGCTTTTTATAACTCTCCACTTTGGAGAAGGTCTCAGGCTACAGGTGAATCCGCCTCTCTCTGTGGTCACACTGATAGGAGTCCCTGAGAAACAGCCCTCATAGCATCGGGCCTCTTAGCCATTTCTAAATTTGCTGTAATTTAAGATACGCTTGGGACCCTTATTGGCACATTGCTGCCTGTGAAAACTACACCAGGCTCACAACGCAGCCATGAAGACTCTTGATTGGATTTATTTCCTCTGTAGGCCCTGATTCATCGCATGCACAGAACAAATTTGGCCGGTGACCAAGAACAGAAGTGGGTATGCTGCTTTAGAATACCTTCTACTTCTTACAGCTCATTTAGTATGCAAAGCCAGTGAAAGCAAGGAAACAAAACAAAGGGCTAAAAATAAGGACACCCACCAACTGAGCGTGAAATGAAGTGGATTAAAAGATTTGATTCAGACTCCAGTTCACCATTCTGGAGGCTCCAAGGAGTTTTTGTTAGATATGTAGATGTGATCAAATCTATGGAGGTTGGGTCTTATGAGGAGTAAAAACAGGAGCTTGAAAATTATTTCCAAAGTGCTGCAGCATTAATCTGCAAAGCAACACACCGACCTCAAATACAGCCAAAGCGTAGGGGTGTCCCAGCCGCTCTGCAGACGACAGGTGCGTTCTGCGGTGAGCTCCGTTCAGGTCCACACTGGCTATGAGATGCAGTTTGGAGTCCACCCAGTAGAGGCGCCTGTTGGCTACGTCTGAGAGGCAAACACAGACACATGTAAGGAGGGAGGGCTTTCCCAGGCTCAGCAGAGATTGATCGCCTCTGTGGTAAGCCTTCATGAACAAAAAATGCCTCTGGTTGGAATTGATTACTTTTTAAAATGTCAGATTCTCAGATTACAAAACACAGAGATGTAGTGGGAGGATCACAGCAGTCTTTATATCTTAATACAGTTTTATTTTTCATAATGAGTAGTCTGGCCTTACCCAGAGTAATGCCATTAGGCCATTCAATATTTTCAGACACCAGAACCTGTCGATCCACTCCATTCATCCCAGCTTTCTCTATCTTGGCTCGTGTGCCCCAGTCCGACCAGTACATGAATCTGAAAAAAGAATAAAAATACATTATACTTATGATTTCCTTTTTATATTTTAAAGGTAGTGGAT